AACAGATAACTTCTATCTCAGTTTTTTATTCTTATTCCGATTATGATATTTTTATTGCACAAAAGTTGATTTTTGGCCGAGAAAATTGAAAATTACGGACAGAATTCCCACATTTTCGTCTCGATTTTAGAAGAAAGGACTTTTCTCAGGAACGAAAAGCGATTTTAACAAATCTCTTCTGAATTTTGTAGCTGGGCTTCTGGCGATTCTGAAAAGATGCATATATTGAGTCTACCATCTCTACACAAATCTGTGTTAGGTCTGCAAATTTCGGTTAGCGTTTTTGACTCAAATACGTTTTGGCCTACGCGAGAATTTGGCTTTTGGATTTAAGGACTTGCGAACACCATCTCTAGAACCAGTTTTTCGTAAGGAATCTGAAAATAGTAGTTCTAGAGTTATATGACTAAAGCGAAAAAATTATGGCGCTTTTCCTGAAAACAAAAAAGGTTGAGGTTTTTGCAACTTTCTCCGTAATCGGAGTTTTTCTTCCTGAAGATGCAGTTCAATAGAAGTGAAAACATGATATTCGTTATCAGCTCGACGAGATGAATCAGAATATGTACGATTAAATCAAAAAGAGGTAAACACGTAAAACGTAACGACAGATTCTTTTATCCTCAAGTAAAACAAAGTGTTTTCACGATACTACCCATGAATCTCAATATATCAGACAACATTAAGTGAAAAGGAAATGTGAATTTTTTATGCTGAAATTCAGTATAACAGACTTTTTGTTCGTAATTTTACTAGGAACCTGACAAAGTGGGAAGGTTTTACAAAAAGGTATGAAGCTTCCGACGCTTGAGACTGGAAAATTGACGTAAACGCTTAATCGTTTGCTGATTCACATTCGATAATAAACTTTCGGTTATGTTTAAATTATTCAAATTGAGATGACGGGGATTTGACCAGAATTCTCACTAAGTGAACTAAAGCTATTTTTCTTTAGTTCAGCTCGTTTAATCAGTCATATGATAAATGTGTACTATGTGGTACTTTTTGAACAAAGGGAATAGGAAACAAAAATGAATATGGATAAGAGTAACGGTTTTCCGTTTCAAAAAATATATATTTGATCCTCATATTAATTAACTACTTTATTTTTGTATTGGAAGCGTTAAAATATTTTAAACAATCGAAGAGTTCTTTCGTGCTGTGCAATAGACCGATATGCATTCGTACATTGAGATTCAATATTGAGTCGAGTACATCGTAGTTCAGCCTTTCTGACCATTTAACTGATAAAAGTTTGATGAAAGAAAGAAAATGAACAAAACGTAAATATTGCAGACGTTTTACCTGCACTTTTGGGATGACACTACATTATAAATTCGATTATACGATCTTCTGGAGTGAATTATTTCTACTTTTGGTAGAAATACTCATCTTCTTGAAGGGATAAGTCTTATGTAAAAGCCTTTTTTAATGAGACTTTTCTTACTCAATGTTGAAGTCTTGTATTTTTGCTTCGAATGAATTTGGTATGATAGGTTCAGATTTTAAGTTAAAATATTCCCGATCTAAGTCTGTGCTATAAGAGTGAAATTCCGTCACATTTCATTTTCCTTTACAGTTTTCAAACAGCGAGATGCTCAGAGACGTCTAAAGTCTCAAGTTAAGGAGAAAAAGTGTGCTAAAGATTCGGTGCATAGTGAAAATATGCATTCGCAGTCTACACGATCTGTCATTTAGAAAATATGATATAATTGCACACACCTACTTTTCAAAACTTAGCAGTAAAACAAGATGTTTGTATTTTCTATATGACAGATCGTGTAGACACACAGAATCTGCAGCACACTTTTTTCTCCTTAATTTGAGGTTTCAAACATCTCGGTACTCTCGGCATCTCGCTATTTGGAAACTATAGGAGAAACAAAATGTAAAAGAAATGTAACGGACTTCCAGTCCAGTGGCAGAGTTAGCTAGTCAAGCCATATGGTTAAATTTACTGGAATGTAAGACCGTCCTTGAACTATGGTAGATAGTTCTTTCATGCTGTGCAATAGACCGATATGTATTCGTGCGTTGAAGAATCGTTCAATACTGAGTCGAGTGAATCGCAGTTCCACCTTTCTGGCCATTTAACAAATTCAAGTTTGACGAAAGAAAGAAAATGAATAAAACGTAAAGTGAGATAAACTCACGAGGGAACCTTTCAAGGTGATTAAACGCTTTTTGCTCGGAATCTAGTGGGTTATAGGTTATCGACCATGCTAATTCCAAATATGGCCATGGGGGTTGCCCTTAGCCCTTCAAAGATCCGATTTTCTAGAAAACCAGTTCTTTAGAAACTCTAAAATATAACCAGAATCTTTCTTAATGAGGCATGATTGTAGCCCGCAAATTTCTGATTAAAGTGAGACATCTCCGAGCTTTACACGACCTTTCTTTGCAAAGTTATAGAACGTACAAGAAAAGCCCTATATGAATTTCTTCTTATTTCTGGTGCTTTGAGCTGACAATGACACTTAAGGCTTGCTATCATTAGGGGCATGCTATCAATACAATAAATCATCCGCCACCTTCTTCAAAACCATACCCTTTATCTTACAAAAAGAAAGAAGCACTATACAATATTGTACAATCCTTAATCCAATCTGGTCACCTTCATGAATCGCATTCGTCGTATTCCGCACCAGCAATCCTAGTGGACAAAAAAGATAACACGTACCGCTTAGTAATTGACTATAAAAAGCACAATTCAATAATAATAAAAGATGAGTTTCCCCTTCCTAATATGGAGGAAACACTGCAGGAACTGGGAAGCGGACATAATTATTTTTCTAAACTGGATTTGAAATCTGTTTTTTGGCAACTACCTATTGATGAAACCAGGACTTTTGAAACCAATTAAGCCACCAGATCCACCCTTTCAATTGATTGCAATCGATTACGTTGGACCGTTGCCACGTACACCATCTGAAAATCGTTATGTCCTGGTCAATACTGGCTCTCCCGAGTTGCACAGCGCAGGTGACCGCAACTCGGGCGATCGATCGGGTAATCGATTGCAATCATTTGAAAGGGTCGCTCTAGTGGCTTAATTGGTTTCAAAAGTCCTGGTTTCTTTTGCCGACTGATATTGAATTGCTGGCATTTAGGACATGATTTTATATATTTTTGTATAGATGATTTCATATTCGGCCACCAGTAGTCGTTTTTTAGTTTAAAATATATACGAGTAACGCCAAAATGGCCGGAAATCGGATCATCATGACACGCTTGTAATAAATGTGTAATCATTGTCGCTGGAATATATGGGAGTTGTTTTTTAAGCGAAGAATGTGGTTTTTGGACCGATTTATATAATACTCCGTCTTTAAACACAAAATCGACTTTATTCAGATCTTATGTCAAATTTGTTACAGCTGAATGGAGCATGATCAAATGAATTTTGATCCATTGAAGAACGATTGAGATTGATGTCAGTCATATCATTGGTAGTATTATGATCTGTGACGTCGGAATTCGTAAAAGAAAGATCATTTGTAACCGGTTGAAGATTTTCATTTTGACGTTTCTTTTGAAGTCTTGTTGTAACTGCGGTCACTAACATCTGGGAAGGTGGTGATCTACCATGATCCATGTTTTTATCATTCTGTGTTAGTTAATTGGGATCTATATTGTCTGGATCAGTGAATTCAATTGGATATCTGGACATATAATCTGGTAAACAATTTACTTTGCCTTTAATACGAATTATGGCTGTGATGTTATATTCTTGGAGAAGAATGAAAATTCTGTTTGCCAGCGAGTTTCTTAATGTCTTCGCATGCATTCCGCATAGAGGACAGTGATCGGTATAAATTATGATATCTCTTCCGAGTAAAAACTGATGCATTCGTTTAAATGATAAAGCTATAGCAAGGGCTTCTTTTGCACCCGTATCGTACCGTTGTTGGGTATTGCTTATCAGTTGACTATGATAGTATAAATTGTGTATTTGACCATCGACGTCCTGCTGAAATAACCACTAATGCCATTGCTCGCAGCATCGGTAGATAAGATCACAGGATTCACAGGACGCAGCACTTTATTATCAATTGGAAAATGAAGAAAGTGTGGAGCTTCAGTTAATAGTTTCTTTAATTCATGAAACGCATCGGACTGCTCCTTGGACCACTTGAATTTATATTTCAAAATTTTCGACAAATTTGTAACGGCGTGTATTGGAGCAGCCGTAGTGGCAAATCGTGAAATGAACTTACGTTATCAGAATAACGCTCCCAAAAATTAATTAGCTTCTTTCAACGACTTGGGTTCTTTCAATAAAAGAATGGACGCAATTTTTTCCGATAATGACGAAATGCCATTGTGATTTACACGATGACCAAGATAATCTATTTCAGTCCTTGCAATCGCACATTTTAGCGGATTAAGTTGGAAGTTAGCACGATGTAGACGAGAAAGTACTTGATCTAAGTGTATACGGTGTTAGTCAAAAGATTTAGAGAAAATTATTATATCATCTAAATAAACGAGACAAAACTGTCGACAATCTTCTAATAATTTTGACAACACACATTGAAAAGTTGGCGGAGCATTTTTAAGAGCTTGAGCCAAAACGTTCCATTCATATATAAATTAATTCGCATTTTTGATTTTGAAAGAGTTCATATCTCTAATAGTTGAGGACTTTGTATGTATCAAATCATTAGCGATAGTGCGATTTCTGTATAATATTCACAATTTACAGAGTAGAGGAAGTTTCCTTGTACATTCTTATCAAGATCTTGACTTTGAGAAAGATAAGACATTATATTTTTTGTTTAATAAATCTTGTTTCTTGTGCAAGATTTCAACTTGAGTCAAAGAATAGAAAAAAGCAAAAGTATTTGGGCTAAGAAAGCTTTCTCGGAAAAGGCAGTCAAACGCTAATTTCACCATGCATGTCGAAAAGTCATGAAAGAAAAACATAATATATCAAACGAAAGTGAGATTATCACAAACGTATCGTCTATTTGGAACTCACGATCAAGTTAAACCTTTTTTTTGCATTTTAGCTGGCGATTAATTTGTTGATGAAACTGACAATCGTGCTGTTATTCAAGATGTTGCTGAACAAAGTCAAACTGAAGCAACAGATCCTGACAGAAATCGTACAACCGGAACAGAACCATTCAATATTCATCAAGATATGTCTACGGAAGGTTAAAAAATATAAACAATAAAAAGACTGCTAGTTCAAGAAAACTCTTATTTCTTGAAAGTTTTTTTCCCTTTTTTACAATAAACTCGTCCTAAGCGCAGTAATTTTTTTCACAAAAAGTAAACAAAGTGGCGTTTCTTCGAATAAAACGATACTTTTCTTATTTTGCAACTACGCATTTTCCCATTGCACTAAATTGTGCAAAAGGAAACTACGAGTTATGATGATACATTCGTATGAAGGCCGTACACTTATTTATATATTTAAATAGTCTTTACAAGTGATTACTCACATGTTACTAGCTATACTATACATAAATGTCTACCATATTTAACGTCGACACGACTGTGTACGACGGGTACTTTTACTAGCAACTGCTAGTGATAAAGCACTAAATGTATAACTCTCTCGAGCGGTTAGAACGGGGTTTATTATAGAATCTTCCTGGATTCGGAAGATCGAATCCAGGAGAAGAACACATAAAAATTGTTCTAAAAACGAATATCTCTCCTATAAAAAGTATTCTCTATACTTTTCTTAATTTCTTAAAATTTCGTCTCGAGTTTCACATCACGTTTTTTTGAAACACCAAAACATTTTTTGTTTAAACTTCGGGCTACTGAGATAACATTGAAATTCCTCTCAACTAATTTACATACACTGTTCTGTTTCACGACAACAGTTGATCAACATCGAAAGAATGACAATAAAGAATCATTTCCAAGTGAATCGGGAATCAATTATGGGTATTTAATAAGTCAGGTTGCGAAAACAATAAACGATCAGTCACCAACCAAACAACGAAAGGAAGAAGCAAAAACAGGCAATTCACAAAAGGGTAAACATTTCTGCGTCATATGTTTTCGACGAAAAAACTCAGATCTGCACTCACAATGAACTATAGATCGTTTTCGTAAGACAGGAAATAATTGCAAAAATCATGGTACACTTGAGATAGGAAAGAGTCGCTGTAAAATCACTGAGCACGTAGATGTTGATGACGTAGAAATTTAGTCGTGAAACTTATCAGCTTTATTCATCAACGAAATTTAGCACAAGGAAAACGTTTGATTTTAGCCCGCTGACATCAGAACTGTTGTAAAAGTTGGATTTGGCCAAAATAGCTTTGCTTTTCATCACTATTTTCTCCTAATACTGATGTAAGAAAGGCAAGACCATAAAGTTCTTTGCAGTGGAAAAACATTTTATGATTAACGTTTCAAGCACTTAAGTTGTACGAACTTTGTGAATTTTTTCTATTTTCTGTTTAAAAAATCGTTCAGTTTTTGATGAAACTGATGACAATCATGACTTGGTTTTGAATAATGCTGATAGATTTTTGGATGCCGGTAATTATTAATGTGCAAATACAAAGGCGATCTCAATAGTTACTTTTATTTGTCTCGAATCTTTAGTTATAACACGT